GACGTCCCACTTCGCTCGGTAGAGAACAGCAACCTGTTCAACAGGAACAGGAACAACCACACCAACAGCAGGAACTACCCAACATAACACCAATACCACAACACCTAGGTACACCTCATCCGTCACTACAACAACCCCAACCCCACCTCCCATACCAACCCCATCCTCAATCCCCATACCAACCCCATCCTCAATCCCCATACCAACCCCATCCTCAATTCCCATACCAACCCCATCCTCAATTCCCATACCAACCCCATCCTCAATTCCCATACCAACCCCATCCTCAATTCCCATCCCCCAACCCCATCCTCAATTCCCATACCAACCCTTCCCCCAACCCCAGGCCACTCCATACCCATTCCAACCCCAGGCCACCCCATACCCATTCCAACCCCAGGCCACCCCATACCCATTGCAATCCCAGGCCAGCCCATACCCATCCCAACCTGAGGCCACCCACACCATACCTCAACCCCAACCTCCATCCACACCCCAACCCCAGGCCACCCACACCATACCTCAGCCCCAACCCCAACCTCAATCCAAACCCCAACCCGAGGCCACCCACACCATACCTCAACCCCAACCTCCATCCACACCCCAACCCGAGGCCACCCACACCATACCTCAACCCAAGGCCACCCACACCGTACCTCAGTCCAAACCCCAACCTAACCTAAGTCCTTAACGTTAAAAAAAATTAAAGAATCTAATTTATATAAAACAATTTAAATGATAACGCAGCTAACGCGCAGCACTCGTGATGGATTAATAAAGAATATTTACTGTACTTTAACACTAAACGCACTTGAAGTGAGCAGCGTGGCCACTGATGACTGGTGGAGCGGGACCAGCTGCGCTGAAAAAAAAACTAAGTTCCGCGCTTTTTCGCTTAAACGCTGAAAAATCTAAATTTTTGTTCTGAAGGAAAATAACTAGTTTTACGTTAATAAACCGCTCTAGAGATTAATATAGACACCCAGGACATATATTTGCTTACCAAAATTTGAATTTACACCAAAAACTGCGTTTTTACTCAATGTTGGACACTGCCAATTTTTCTGACTCCGAGGGAAAAAATTCTATCACCCCAAATATCACAAAACTCCTTTAATTCGCAAAAAATTGGGTTTCTCGTTCCCAGATATAAATAAGTTATTATTTACTACTGACGTTGTAAACAGAACAATGCTGACACATCGGGCGGTTTCAACACTCATTAATTCGAATTTTCGTCAAAATCCGAGATTTTCACCTCAAGTGGACTCTGACAAAATTACAACATGATTTCCTCGAAAAATACTTAAATTCGACAAAAATGTAATTATCACTGTTTAATGCTTAAGAACAGAATTACGTCCCTTGTGCGCACTAGAGTGACCCTAGATACTGACCCTAGAATATACACGAAACATGAAAATTCGAATTTTCGCCAAAAAGTCAGATTCTAGCCCATGCTGGATTTTGAAAATTTTCCACCTACGTTTCTACAAAAAAATTCTAAGTCTAAAAAACGCAATTCTACCATCTTACTGGTAAAACTAGAAAAAATATCATCTGCATCGACTTGGGAATCCTAATGATACCCAGATCATATACGTGACCCGCGAATACAAAATTACAGTTAACGACTTTCCGACGTTGACTTAGCCGAAAACTTATCCCGAAATACTGAGAAATATTTCCCAAACTCTATTAAACATTTACAACGAAAATTACTATCCTTAACAATTCCTGCACTAACTATAGTGACCGACATATAGCCCTAAGTCCAGAGGATTAACTACGCTCTAGAAACAACGCCTCTGACTTAGACTAATACAACAGGAAATAGCAAAACTTAATGTACACACTTAGCCTAATACATAAGAAAATACTAACACTTGGGAAAAATATTTAACCAGGGATTGAATTTAGGGGAAAAAAAAATAATCTCTAGAACAATGCAAATAACAGGAATTACTTTATAAATTTAAGTATACTTAATTCAAATATACACTCGACTTAATCTTATAATTGCTCCTACCGGTCCACCGTACCACGCCTAGCCTAGGGGTCTCGACCATCTAGGTTCTAACAGAGCGACACACAGCTTTCAGCAACAATTAAGACTAGGGACGACTCAACCTCCACTAAGTGTGCGATCACTTAGTTGTTGAATCGCTGCTAGGTAGGTTACTAGTCGGTCCCTCGGAGGCCGCAACGCCCTTCACGGATTTACGTTTTCCCTAGCGTTTTGGGTCGTCTAACAACGCCCTCGGATCTATCTCCTGGCGTCCCACAGATATATCCGCCCAGACAGCCCACAAGGAACTGCTGTTGAGAGTATGGCGGCTCCCAACACCTCTGAATTAATTGCAATGGGTCGAGTATGGTACCCAGTCCAATCAACTTGGAGCGGTCTCCTTTTCAATAAATCTTAACAGCCTAATCTTACTAACTAAACCTTAATCATATCAGCCCGCATGACCCAAGATTCGCCAATCCCCACTCAAACGCACTGTTGTGAGGCGCACTGCTAATCCTGGCCCGCGGCTGTCTCCTTAGCATCCACGCACGTGTTCGAATGGCTAGACGCGTGAGCATTTCAACAATTTCAAACAAAATTGTTGAAACCACCGCTGTGTACCATTGTAACACTGGGAGGGTGTTCCGAAATGCGCTTTCCTACCTTTTCCTCCTCTACCCGTATTCTTACTTTTTATTCTCTACAAAGGTCTCCAAAACATTTACTGAAGCCGACTCCACGCCACGTGGTCCTAAGACGATTGACCGACTTAGGATTCTACAACCCGTATGACGTGACCTAGGCTTTGAGCAAAACCCTAGAGTCGCCTCCGCCGCCACCATCAGACCAGTAACACTGAGCAATGATCGAGGTCTGGATCGATCATGCTAATTAATCAACCTTGGGGCTTGATCCCCACTAGTAATATATGACCTTGGGAACTTGAGTGTGGAATTAATTAAACGGGAATGATGAATTCCGATTCGATGTTAGAATCGGCGCCCAATTCAACTCTGCCTCGTAGGGACCACGTGACCAGGACAAATTCATATACATATAACATACACATGGAAATAATGAAAATGCAAATTTACTAGCTATTAATTTATTAAAAGAAAAACTAAAACAAAATCTAAATGGTTATCACTCCCTGTCACGTTAACACTCCCTACTTGACCTGAACGGCAATGAATTGACTATCCCTATAAGAACTCATAAAGCAACTCTACCTTGGGCGACCAGCTAGATGTTCGTGCTGTCGGGAGGCCGATGATGGTAAGGCCACCTGCCCGAGTTGTTTCTCAAACCACACTAATTGTCCTCTCTCTGGTCTTCCCCAGACTAGAGCATTGTATTGTTCCGCATCGCTTACCAAGTTACTTAGCAAGGTTTAAGTTATAACAATTAACCTCTGTTGTACTTAATTGATCCAGACTGGTTGAATTATTTTACTGAAGTTAAATTACACAAGCATCTAACGGCAGAGCTGTTCCCGATCACCACATGGCTATTTGACCTTTGAGAAATAGTGGACATGTCAACTCTGATGACCTATGACCCAGTCACTCCGCCTTACAACTTAGATCTGATTCGTGACGTCACTGATGGTGACTTAACTCAATAATTAGAATACTCTTGATATTATAACTATATAATACAATTTGAATGCAACCTGAATAACGACTATTTTCTCTAAATTACTGAATACTATAGGATGATTCATTATACGAAACTATGAATAAGGCGTCAATTATTTTCACCGCGAATTCCCTGGGGTCAGGTCCCAGGTCACCACGCGGGTCCCGCTTCCCATTCTCCCTTGTAGATAAAACATTCCGGAAAATTCTTACAACCAGCCTAGTTTGTTACAAGCGCATTAAACCCCCCCCCCCCCTCCCGCCCAGAACCAGCCCCTGACACAGCGAGACCCAGAAGAGGGCCCTGTTTTTGCTTTTATATACAGACGTTATATATAAGTATTTACATGTTTTGTTCACCATAACTGTACATCTAAACTTGTATGGTGAGTAAAGGCACAAAGACATAGCTACTCACACAGTCAGCTGGTGGCTGCCGCCCTCAAGGCCAGACGCACTAATATTTCTCCTCCAGCAATACTGTTTGTGGTGTTATTATGCTATATACACACATTATGTATAAGTTTTTACCTGTTTTATTCATCATACTTGTACAAGTAAACTGGTATGGTGCCCAAAGACCATCGTGGTCACCAGTAAACAACATGATAAGTTGTGCAGACGACGCCACCGCCCTCACCAAAATGGTGGCTCCCAACCTACTCCTCTCACTGTTTATACCCTCTATACACACTTTATATATAAGTATCTACATTTGTGTTCACCATAGCGAACCACTAAGCTGGTATGGTGAGTGCAGTCAATAAAAGGTGACCACACATAGTCAGAAGACAGCGCCACTACCCTCCCTCCCACTGCATTACTCCTCCCTCCTTGGAGCACAACGCTCAATATCACCACAATCCTGCTATTATCAGAACCCTGGTCAGTTTTATCACAGTCAGGGGTTTTCTGTAATAATATCATCACTACATAATAGCTTGAACAAGTATATTATGGCATTTTTAGGCGATGTTGTGGTCACAAGCTGAACAGCAGTGCTGTGAGCTCGTGCTGCATGCGTCAGGCTTGGTAGCTCGCTCAATACTAAGGCCCCTAACACCCGGGAATTTGCCCCACGATTTTTTTTTAAATGGCGTCTGTTTACAGGAGCCCTGATGAAGGTGTGGTGAACCCCCGTGTATCCGCGGGCCATTTAAATCTTGCATAGTACTCCAAAGCATCATATGTTGCGATGCGCAATTTAAGGTTAAAGGAGGCGGAAGATTTTCAGAATGAAATAATTGAAAGTAAGTTATGTGTTAGGAACTGATGATTGAATTTGCAAGAACATGCAGTAGAGTTCAACACTCAGGCGATCCTATAACAATATGTTATCACATTTCTAACAGGGAGGAATTGATGGAAGTGACTCTCCCGTGCCTCTAACAGCCTATGTGATGATTGCTCTCCTGGAGGCCAATGACAAGTCATGCAGCCAGGCCGACTGTTTGGCTGCCCAGTGTCTACAAGCAGACTCCTCCTCTGACCCCTACGTTATGGCGCTCAAAGCCTATGCTTTCGCCTTGGCTAAGCTTCCTGAAGCCGAAGTAATTCTCCAGAAATTGCTGGAACAAGCTGTTGTGACAAAGAACTCCACTCACTGGGAGCTGCCCAAGGGACCAGGTATAGTCGGGGGAAGAAGGGTATAAGGTGTTACCTTAGTAAGTGCGTAAGCACTATATTTATTTTCTCTTTAACTTTGCTTACGACTGAATAATCTTGCTGGTTGTACTGACAAGTAGTTATGGTTATAATTTTAGGCGAGCTTGATAGGCCTTAAATAAAGCTAATATCCAAAACAAAATTGAGATGAATGTCATTCATTATTGTTTTATTAAATGCAACTCCTAGAATAATTTATATTTGAAAATAAACACAGGTAAATCAATATAAATATATCTAATCAAAGAACCCGTGTATTGTGGCTTGATATTTGCAGCCTAATCAAAATATTCACGTAATAAATTTTGTTCGGTTAACAAAGAAGTTTTAAATAGAATTTTAGTTAAGATGATTGTTAACAGCATTTGTTTTAATTTATTTTACATTTCATTCACGTAGACCATCAGAGCCTCGAACCAAATGTCACAAAAGCAGACAACTTTAGTTCTACCAACCAGGCTACAAGCACCACAACTGGTATCTGACTGAGAAACCAGCTGTCTCTCTGAGCTCCTCCCTTATTGTGGGTGCTCGTAGCTTGGTTGGTAGAACAAGTCTTCTGCTTTGTTGGTTCTGGGTTTGAGGCTCTGATGGGCAAAGCGAAAAAAAATTATTATCTACGTGTCTTGTGGTCAGGGATATATTTTACCTGTGTCCAAATGGTTGATATGTTTCATACAATAATTACGTATTGTATAATCAGGCAAGACGAAGGCTGTAGGGGTGGAAACAGCTGGCTACGCCATCATGGCCATGATGACCCTTGACCCTAAACAATACGAGCAGCAGGCTAGGAAGGTGGTCAAGTGGATCACGGCGCAGAGGAATGGCCAAGGAGGATTCTATTCCACACAGGTAATATTCTCCTTCGTTACCCACATGCCTTGCCTATACATCCATCGTCGTTACCCAACATGTCTTGCCTATACAACCATCATTGTTACCCACATGTCTTGCCTATACAACCAACCATTTTATTGCATGGAAATTTAGCAGAATTTTGTTTACTTTCATGTTCTTTAGCAATAGAAGAACTCGTATAATTTCTTTTGAACAAAAGAAATGCTGATATGAAAGAAACTGACAAAGAAATATACACAAGTTGAGCACTGTGGAACGGAAAAACATATTTCTGGGCTGTCCTCTATGTAGCACCCCAGTGTATTAAGTCCTTGTACCACAGAACCTCCAGTGTATTAAGACTTTGTACCACAGAACTCCCAGTGTATTAATTAAGTCCTTGTATCACAGAACCCCCAGTGTATTAAGTCCTTGTACCACAGAACTCCCTGTGTATTAAGTCCTTGTACCACAGAACTCCCTGTGTATTAAGTCCTTGTACCACAGAACTCCCATTGTATTAAGCCCTTGTACCACAGAACCTCCAGTGTATTAAGCCCTTGTACCACAGAACCCCCAGCGTATTAAGCCCTTGTACCACAGAACCCCCAGTGTATTAATCCCTAGTGCCACAGAACCCCCAGCGTATTAAGTCCTTATACCACAAAACCCCCAGTGTATTAAGTCCTTGTTCCACAGTCCCCGCGAGCTCCAGATGTTAGGGCGCAGTAGACGGCTGTCTGGTGTTGCTCCCTTGGTGGTGGTAGTGGCGGAGTCTGAGCCTTGCTTTTATTCTGTGGTTTCCTTCAAGTGTTTTAGGGATGTGTTAGGATAAGTGGAAGCCACTGTTTTGTGCTGCTTTTCTGTCTTCTTCCCGTTATTTGTGTTTAGAGTTGGATTTGTAACCTTAAATAAGGAAATCAGGGGTCTGGTGTTACTGGCGGTGGGACTCGAGTGCTTCACTATAGTCTTGATGGTTGCCATGTTTCATGAGGGGCCCCTTACATTCTGACCTGCCACCGGTAGTTGACTTTTGGAGTTCTTTATCCATGCTCTCCTCTTAAGTGGTGTAGGAAACTCGGTCGTTATTCACGTGTTGCCTGCCATGTTTTGCGAAATATATGATCTATTCTGAGGTTATCTTGAGATGATTTCGTTGCTTAGCGTCCCCGGTCCTCAACCAAGCCTCCTTTTTGTTACACATCCCCAGGAAACAACCCGTAGCAGGTGTCTAACTCCCAGGCACCTATTTTCTGCTAGGTAACAGGGGCATCTGGGTGATAGAAACATTTTGCCCATTTGTCTCCACCTCCACCGGGATCGAACCCGGAACCTCAGGACTACGAATCTGAAGTGCTGTCCACCCAGCTGTCAGGTGCCTGACAGGCATAATGGCGCCCTGACAGCTGGGCATGATGTAGGCATAAAGTTTATACCGAAGTAGTGTGAAAATGTTATACTGCAATGAGTACTGGTAAGACGGGACACCACGAGTGTAACTCTCATCCTGGAACTACACTTAGATAATTATCCCGTCCACTGGCTGGTGTTCACTGTTACATGGATTTCTCGCTGAGTATACAGATAAAATATCAGCCCCTTCGACTCCTGTTTGGGTCCTCGCTTCAGGTGTGGGTGTTGCCTGTACCTGGGATGTCTCGTCACACACAGGCAGGACTAGCCTTGTTGCAGGTGGTGCTTCAGGTGTGGGTGTTGCCTGTACTCGGGACGTGACGGGCGCACCACATCTCCACACATGTCTAAAATAACTGTAAACAATACTAAAGAGGTCCCTCTCTTCTACTAATTAAATTTACATAATGGAGCGGTACTTGGGGATGTGGCAACAGCGAGAAGTTTGCCGTATTTTGCGAGTTGTGTTGCTGAGACAACACTAGCTCCTTGTCTTGATAGTGTTTAGGTTAAAAATGTTTAAGGTTGACTGCAAAACATGTTTGTATGAACAAGATGGATATTACATTTGTGAAATTTGTCTGCATATTAAAAACGAATGGAACCTTAGCTAATTAAGAAATTAATATTGGTAACCAAATGTAAGAGTTAGGGAAGTTTGATGGTGAGAGCTGTGGGTTAGGTAATATGAGAAACAGAAGTACTTTGAGAATATCAGCATGAAGAGCGGATTGTGCGAAGCAAGTGGTTGGCATTACACAATACTTGCACCTGTACATATATTACTTGTAATTGCTCAACGGAATTATGTTTACTGAAAATTTTCCAAATATATGGTGTTGAATCTGAAACTAACACATAAGTACACAATGAAACATATTTTCAGTTAAAGGAAGCATCGTGAATGTTAGGGGAAAATCATAATTGAAAAATGTCTTTACTAACAGGACGTTTTGTGCCCATTACACAGGATACGGTGGTGGCCCTCCAGGCGCTGGCACTGTACGAGACCCACTTGTACCAGGGACCTCTGAACGTGGTGGCAACGGTGACAGCTAGCGGCCTGGCACACCCCTTCACCGTCACCGACGACAACAAACTGCTGCAGCAGTTGGTAAAGCTGCCCACTGTTCCCACCAAGGTCTCCATCACTATGGAGGGCCAGGGATGTGCTGTCTTGCAGGTGACCTTACTTTGTCTCTTAGTCTTTCTGTGTACGTGTGTTTGTGGCTGTGAGCGTATGTGTGTGCGTGTGTCTGTCGCTGTGTGAGTGTATGTGTGTGAGCGTGTCTGTGTACGTGTGTTTACTAGTTGTGTTTTTGCGGGGGTTGAGCTTTGCTCTTTCGGCCCGCCTCTCAACTGTCAATCAACTGTTTACTAACTACTCTTTTTTTTTTTTTTTTTTTTTTTTTTTTTTTTTTTTTTTTTTTTTTTTTTTTTTTTTTTTTTCCCACACCACACACACACACCCCAGGAAGCAGCCCGTGACCGCTGACTAACTCCCAGGTACCTATTTACTGCTAGGTAACAGGGGCACTTAGGGTGAAAGAAACTTTGCCCATTTGTTTCTGCCTCGTGCGGGAATCGAACCCGCGCCACAGAAGTACGAGTCCTGCGCGCTATCCACCAGGCTACGAGGCCCCACGTGTGTCTGTGTGTCTGTCGTGCGTGAGTACTCACCTAATTGTGCTTGCGGGGGTTGAGCTTTGGCTTTTTGGTCCCGCCTCTCAACTGTCACCTAATTGTACTCACCTAATTGTGCTTGCGGGGGTTGACTTTGGTCCCGCCTCTCAACTGTCAATCAACTGGTGTACAGATTCCTGAGCCTACTGGGCTCTATCATATCTACACTTGAAACTGTGTATGGAGTCAGCCTCCACCACATCACTTCCTAGTGCATTCCATTTATTAACTACTCTGACACTGAAAAAATTCTTTCTAACGTCTCTGTGGCTCATCTGGGTACTAAGTTTCCACCTGTGTCCCCTTGTTCGTGTCCCACCCGTGCTGAAGAGTTTGTCTTTGTCCACCCTGTCAATTCCCCTGAGAATTTTGTAGGTGGTTATCATGTCTCCCCTTACTCTTCTGTTTTCCAGGGATGTGAGGTTCAGCTCCTTTAGCCTTTCCTCGTAGCTCAATCCTCTCAGTTCCGGGACGAGCCTGGTGGCATACCGCTGAATCTTCTCTAACTTTGTCTTGTGTTTAACTAGGTATGGACTCCAGGCTGGAGCTGCATACTCCAGGATTGGTCTTACATAAGTGGTATACAGGGTTCTGAAAGATTCCTTACACAAGTTTCTGAAGGCAGTTCTTATGTTGGCCAGTCTACCATATGCCGCTGATGGTATACTTTTGATATGGGCCTCTGCTGACAGGTTCTGTGTGATATCAACCCCCAGATCCTTCTCTCTATTTGACTCTTGCAGGATTTCCCCTCCCAGATGATACCTTGTGTTAAGCCTCCTGCTCCCTTCGCCTAATTTCATCACCTTACACTTTCCCGAGTTGAACTTGAGCAGCCATTTTTTAGACCATTCCTCCAGTTTATCCAGGTCATCCTGTAGTCTCTGTCTATCTTCATCCGTCTTGATTCTTCTCATAATTTTTGCATCATCAGCAAACATCGAGAGGAATGAGTCTATACCCTCTGGAAGATCGTTCACATATATTAGAAACAGGATGGGTCCAAGTACTGAGCCCTGTGGGACTCCGCTGGTGACATCTCGCCCCTCACCGTTACTCGCTGTTTCCTGTTGCTTAAGTACTCCCTTATCCACTGGAGCACCTTCCCTTTTACTCCTGCCTGTTGCTCCAACTTTTTTAACAGCCTTTTATGGGGTACTGTGTCAAAGGCTTTTTGGCAATCCAGGAAAATGCAGTCGGCCCACCCTTCTCTTTCCTGCCTAATTTTCGTTGCCTGGTCATAAAATTCAATTAAACCTGTGAGGCACGATTTACCATCTCTGAACCCATGTTGGTGGTGCGTTACAAAGTTATTTCCCTCCAGATGCTCTACGAGCCTTTTCCTCACGATCTTCTCCAGCACCTTGCATGGTATACAAGTTAAGGAAACTGGCCTGTAGTTCAGTGCCTCTTGCCTGTCAACCTTCTTGTATATTGGGACCACGTTAGCTGTCTTCCAACTTTCTGGTAAGTCTCCTGTTTCCAGTGACCTGTTATACACCATAGAGAGTGGCACACTTAGTGCTTCTGCACCTTTCTTTAGTATCCATGGTGAGATTCTATCAGGCCCAACAGCCTTTGTCACATCCAGCTCCAGCAGACATCTTTTGACCTCATCACTGGTGAGGTCAAATTCCTCCAAGGTTGCTTGGTTTGCCGCCTCCGAGTGTATGTGTGTGCGTGTACTCACCTATTTGTGCTTGCGGGATCGAGCATTGACTCTTGGATCCCGCTTTTCCAGCCATCGGTTGTTTACAGCAATGACTCCTGTCCTATTTCCCTTTCATACCTAATTTTAAAAGTATGAATAGAGTTTGCTTCCACAACCTGTTCCCCAAGTGCATTCCATTTTTCCACTACTCTCACGCTAAAAGAAAACTTCCTAACATCTCTGTGACTCATCTGAGTTTCCAGTTTCCACCCATGTCCCCTTGTTCCGTTATTATTACGTGTGAACATTTCATCTATTTCCACTTTGTCAATTCCCCTGAGTATTTTATATGTTCCTATCATATCTCCTCTTTCCTTTCTTTTCTCTGTGTCGTAAGGTTCAGTTCCCTCAGACGCTATTCATATCCCATCCCTCGTAACTCTGGAACAAACCTCGTCGCAAACCTCTGAATTTTCTCCAGTTTCCTTATGTGTTTCTTCAGGTGGGGGCTCCATGATGGCGCGACATACTCTAAGACTGGTCTCACGTAGGCAGTGTAAAGCGCCCTAAAAGCCTCCTCACTTAGGTTTCTGAATGAAGTTCTAATTTTCGCCAGTGTAGAGTACGCTGCTGTCGTTATCCTATTTATATGTGCCTCAGGAGTTAGATTAGGTGTCACACCTACTCCCAGGTCTCCTTCTCGAATCGTTACAGGTAGGCAGTTCTCCTTCATTGTGTACTGTCCCTTTGGTCGCCTATCACCTAATCCCATTTCCATAACTTTACATTTACTAGTGTTGAACTCCAGTAGCCATTTCCCTGACCATCTCTGCAACCTGTTTAAGTCCTCTTGGAGGATCCTACAATCCTCATCTGTCACAACTCTTCTCATTAATTTTGCATCATCCGCAAACATAGACATGTAGGATTCCACTCCTGTAAACATATCATTTACGTAAATTAGAAAGAGGATTGGGCCCAGCACCGATCCTTGAGGTACTCCACTTGTTACTGTTCGCCAGTCCGACTTCTCGCCCCTTACCATTACCCTTTGGCTCCTTCCTGTTAGGTAGTTCCTCACCCATGCTAGGGCCTTTCCGCTTACTCCTGCCTGCCTCTCAAGTTTGTGTAGCAGTCTCATGTGCGGTACTGTATCAAAGGCCTTTTGGCAGTCAAGAAATATGCAGTCTGCCCAGCCTTCTCTGTATTGCCTTATCCTTGTTACTTTGTCATAGAATTCTAAAAGGTTTGTTAGGCATGATTTACCTGTCCAGAACCCATGTTGGTGCTTGTTTACAAACCCAATGCTTTCCAGGTGCTCAACAAGTCTTAGCCTAATTATTCTTTCAAGTATTTTGCAGGGGATGCTTGTAAGTGATAGTGTGTCTGTGTACGTGTGTCTGTGGCTGTGTGTGAGTATGTGTGTGCGTATGTGTGTGCGTGTGTCTGTCGCTGTGTGTGCGTAAATCTGTCGCTGTGTGAGTGAATGTCTGTGCGTGTGTCTGTCGCTCTGTGTGCGTATGTCTGTGGCTGCGTGTGTGTATTCACCTAGTTGTGTTTGCGGGGGATGAGCTCTGCTCTTTCGGCCCACCACTCAACTGTCAATCAATCAACTGTTACAAACTACTAATTTTATCACACACACACACACACACACACACACACACACACACACACACACACACACACACACACACACACACACACACACACACACACACACACACACACGCACACTTGGATAGGTTCGAAATTACAAGAGATGAGGTTAAGAAGCACCTATTGGAGCTGGATGTGAGAAAAGCTGTTGGGCTGGACAGAATCTCACTATGGGTATTGAAAGAGTGTGCAGGAGCACTCTGCTTGCCACTCTCCATAGTGTATAGTAGGTCACTAGAAACAGGGGACCTACCAGAAATATGGAAGACTGCTAATGTAGTACCAATATACAAAAAGGATGACAGATAAGAGACACTGAACTACAGGCCAGTGTCCTTAACTTGTATACCATGCAAGGTGATGGAGAAGATTGTGAGAAAAAACCTAGTAACACATCTGGAGAGAAGAGACTTCGTGACAACACATCAACATGGGTTCAGGGAGGGTAAATCTTGCCTTACAGGCTTGATAGAATTCTACAATCAGGTGACAAAGATTAAGCATGAAAGAGAAGGATGGGCGAACTGCATTTTTTTGGACTGTCGGAAAGCCTTTGACACAGTACCCCATAAAAGGTTGATGCATAAGCTGGAGAAACAGGCAGGAGTAACTGGTAGGGCGCTCCAGTGGATAAGGGAGTACCTAAGCAATAGGAAGCAAAGAGTTACAGTGAGGGGTGAGACCTCAGAATGGCGTGTAGTCACCAGTGGAGTCCCACAGGGCTCTGTACTTGGACCTATCCTGTTTCTGATATACGTAAATGATCTCCCAGAGGGTATAGACTCATTCCGCTCAATGTTTGCTGACGACGCCAAAATTACGAGGAGGATTAAGACAGAGGAGGACAGCTTGAAACTTCAAGAAGACCTGGACAGGCTGCAGGGATGGTCGAACAAATGGCTGTTAGAGTTTAACCCAAACAAATGCAATGTAATGAAGATAGGGGTAGGAAGCAGGAGATCAGATACAAGGTTTGATTTGGGAGATGAAATACTTCAAGAGTCAAGAGAGAGAAAGACCTGGGGGTTGATATCACGCCAGACCTGTCCCCTGAAGCTCATATCAAGAGTATAACAGCAGCAGCATATGCCAGGTTGGCTAACATAAGAACGGCCTTTAGGAACTTGTGTAAGGAATCTTTCAGAACATTATATACCATATATGTCAGACCAATCCTGGAGTATGCAGCT